CCTGTCAGATCTTCCCATTGCTAATTTGTCAGCTTGAAAACAATGGATTTCCTCTCACTGTTGCCCTTTTCTTGAAACCTGAATTTCATTTAAAACAGCAATGCAAATATCCATTTGGTTAGAGCTTCATAACACTTTGATACCCAAAGTTTGAAAATAAATGGCTCACCATTTCAAACACTTATCAGATATACTGGATACTTTCTGTTTCCATACACATTTCAGTTAAATCGTTCATCATTTTGACTTATTTTACCCTTTATTCAAGCTGCGTCTGTTTATTGTCATTGCCACAGTTTACCTTTCATCAAGGCTTTTCATGACTTATCTGCCATTGACCTTTAACCCCATATATTCTCAGTTTTATGCTCTTGTTGACTAAGTGCTGTCAGAGGTGAAGGCCCACTGGTGTGTTCACCACTTCTCTTCTGTTAGAATTAACAATTTCAGTTCTGTTAAAACGGAAGATACTATAACTAATCTCAGTATTCACGCAGCCTGAATTTCTGTTCAAAATTACTTGACTTGAAACCATTTTCATTCTTTGTCAAGCAATTTTATTTGCATAGCCCTACTGCCTGCAAGTGTCAAAGAGAAGATTGTGGGGTCTATCATACATTTATAAGGCTATAACTTATAAAGTTATGATTTCTGTGTGTGTGTGTGTGTGTGTGTGTGTGTGTGTGCGTGCGAGTGTGTGTGTATGTGTGTGTGTGCGCGTGCATGCGTGTGTGTGTGTGTGCGTGTGTGCACATGTGTGTGTGTGTGTGTGTGTGTGTGTGTGTGTGTGGCTGTTGTTATGCCACTGTACCTTTAAGAAACACACTTCTCTCGTGAATGCGAACTGTCAAAGTGTTTGTCTGTTTGACTAATCAGTCAATCAGCTTCACCCATTCAGATATTTTATTGTGTTCATGATTTACCCTTTTTGCTGTCCTTGATGAGTGATTGTCATACGACTGTTCCTGGATCTGAGTACCCATGCGCAAAGATGGCAGAGTCCAGGGGCCGGTTGCATAAACTGCTTAGACTTGTCTTAAAAAGTTAGTCATCTAATTTGTTTTCTTCAAGACTGGTCATAACTTTTTTTTTTTAATCAGCTACAAAGGTAGACTGGCCCAATTTGAATCAGAAAAGAAACAATGATTAACTAACTGCTATAGTTGGTCAAACTAGTTCTTAAGACACAACATAGTGACTTTGTTCACGCAACTGGCCCCAGGCTGCACAGGGTCCTGTACCAGCCGAGGAACTGTCATTAAGAACGTATGAAGCCTGTTTCCATGCACCACCAAGTAAAAAAGAAAAAGAAAAAAGATTAATGTGATTTTTATCTACAATTCTGACTTTTTTTCTCAGAATTGTGTGATATAAACTCACAATTGCAAGTCACGCTTTGGGAACGCCCCCGGCGAGACCCCATAATGAAGTGTGTGTGAAATCAGTCCAATAGAGAAGCGAGACGTCACGAGCGGAGTGACGTGAGCAACCAGGAAGCATAAAGGCGCATCCGGCAAATGCACATGTTAGCTTCTGCTCTTCAGCGAGCGTGTCTGTGTATGTGTTTCTGTGTATGCAAAAAGCATTCAGTCAGTCAGGAATTACTCTGTATAGAAAGTGAGTTCAAAATGCCTAAGTGTAAAACAAAATCTGTGATGAGCGGACGGCGTTTCAAGTTTCATGGGATAAACCATATTCGTCCCGACTCTTCAGCCCTACAGTATCCAATTACTCTAACATCACGGGGTTTAATGAGAAGGGATATAGGGTGATGCCGGCGGTGGAGCAGACGCTCGCGAGCTATCTATCTCCGTCCTCAGCATCGTCCTTGAAGGCCCTGAAGCTTCCCACCAGGCCAGTAAAACTGACATCCAGCTTGGTTGGGAAAGCTTGTGTGGCGGCAGGTCAGGCCGGTGCGTGTCTGCACACTATGGCGGTGCTGCAAGCATACCAGGCTAACCTGCTAAAAGACCTGGACGATAGGGAGGAAGAGGAATCCGACCGTTATTATGTCCAAGAGGACCTCGGCCAAGCAGTCCTGACAATTCCACCGTCGGGACCCTGAGGGCAGCCGACCCTGGGGAGGAGAGGTACACACCTCAGTATACGGTCCCCGATCCTCCTCAGTGCCCTCAGGGAGCTTCACTAATACCTCGCACCCAGGAAAGCTCGATGAGCGCGCTAGAACAGTCAGGTCGGTCGTTCCCTGCCGGCCAACTGCTTCAGGGCACCGAAGTGGCTCCTCTAGTGACACCAGAGGTGTTTTTTGACAGCGTAGAAGCTTCTGCCAAATGTCTCACAATGGGTCCTGCACACTGTAGACAGAGGTTAGATCCCCCGTCACCGATGAGAGTCAGAGCGAACTCGACCCGGAGTATGGCGGCCTCCAAGGTCTTATCAGTGGGCGTGGCCCTCCAGGATATTTGTGCTGTTGCGGGCTGGTCCTCTCCGCACACATTTGTCCGGTTTTACAGTCTGGACCTGACACCAACCCTGGGGTCCCAAGTTCTCTTGTCTTGATGTGCTCGCCAGACACACATCAGACAGGGACTTGCTCGTATGGCACAGTGAGTATTCTCGTTCCCAAATCGTTCGACGCAGCTCGAGTTCCTGAAGGGGAACGTCTCGAGGTTACGTATGTAACCATGGTTCCCCGAAGGGAACGAGACGCTGCGTCTCCCTGCATCCCTGCAGGCGCTTGCTTCCACAGAAACTAACATGTGCGTTTGCCGGATGCGCCTTTATGCTTCCTGGTTGCTCACGTCACTCCGCTCGTGACGTCTCGCTTCTCTATTGGACTGATTTCACACACGCTTCATTACGGGGTCTCGCCGGGGGCGATCCCAAAGCGTTCGACGCAGTGCCTCGTTTCCTTCGGGGAACCATGGTTACATACGTAACCTCGAGACGTTATTTTCTATCTGTGCATCTACCTTTGAACAAATGCAGGTTTGCCATTCTAACCTATTTAAGATATTTTTTTTGGTTGAAAGGCAACTGTACAGACCCAAAATCAATATATTTCTTGGGTATATGTGGTTATGTTGTTTTTTTACCACCCTGAGAAGGTGAAAATGGAGCTGTTCCTCACTATTTTCAGTACTGAAAAAAGACATTCTCAGACACAGATGGTACAAATGAGCTATTCATTTTTTTTTCAGTGTATCTGAAAAAACTTTGTCAAACACAAACTGTAAAATAAGGTCTCATTTCTACCTTCTCTCAAGTTATATGAAATACTATTTAACCTAGCTTTATAATCAAATGTGGGTCAAACTGACATCAAAATCGTAATAAAATGATGTGTGTACATTTCAAAACACATCAGTGTATCCTCACTTTACATGCATGTTCATGGCCCTAAACGAGAAAAAGTCACAAAATTTCTCGAAGAAAAAAATATGATAGGTAGTATTTTTTAATATGCATTGCAGATAGAAATGATAGCTCACTTTTACCATCTGTGTCTGAGAAAGTCTCTGTCAGTACTGAAAATAGCGAGGAAAAGCTATTTTTTTTTCTCTTTCCAGTGTAGTAAAACACCAACATAACAACATATACCCAAGAAATATATTTAATTTGGGTCTGTACAGTTGCCTTGGAACAAAACAAACGTGGGTCAAATTGACCCGCGAACATCAAAATCATCAGGAAATTATTTGTGCACACTTTAAAACACATCAGTGTATCCTCACTTTGCATGCATGTTCATGGCCCTAACTGAGAAAAAGTCACAAAATGTCTAGAATAAAATCACAGGTTAACTAGTATTTCCGATATAGCTCAAAAATCGAAATGGGTCAAATTGACCCGGAACATAATACAAGGTTTAAATATTTCCACACATGCTAGCATAACTACATTTACAGTATTTACTAGTTACCATATCAACACTATATAGAGAAAAAAAAGTGCGCAAATTCAAAAATCTTTTGAAGATTTCGCTGAACATTTATTTTACCATAGTACAATTATATTTCTGGCTTAAGTCAATTTTTCATCTCAGTTTTTATTATTCATTTAAAATGAGACAAACCTGCTATTATTTTAATCTCCGATCTGTTCATTTGCTTTTTTAATGCTTCGATAACTAGCAGAAGACACTAAACAGTTTTAATGCAGATGGATGCAACTTGTAACACTGCGTTACAATGTGCCCCGTTATTATTAAACAATGCTGTAGCTAAGCGATGTAATTTACACTATTTACTTTAATGAATTTTTATGAGAAACTTCGAGAAGCAGGTGAATAAAGACTGACAGTCGATGCTTAATGTTCAGAAATTATTATTTCAAATTTTTTTTAAAGCATTTTGGCTTGTTTATGTGGGCCGTCCCAAGCATGGTTGCAATGTGTTCATTGTCAAACTCCAAAATCAGAATATTTTTAATTCTTAAAAAACGCCATTATTTTATTTGAAATAAATAATTATTTAATTTTATTGACAAAATATTTTAGTTTGTCTTGTAATGCTTTTTTTTTTTTTTTCATTATATCATATAACATTTTAAGCTGTCATATGGTCATGTTACAAGTTACAACGCGCCCCTCAGATGTTACAATGTAGCTACATTCACAACAGTGTATATCAACCTCTTTAATCTCAGAGAATTTTATATTGACAAAATATTTTAGTTTGTCTTGTAATGCTTTTTTTTTTTTCATTAGATCATATAACATTTTAAGCTGTCATATGGTCATGTTACAAGTTACAACGCGCCCCTCAGATGTTACAATGTAGCTACATTCACAACAGTGTATATCAACCTCTTTAATCTCAGAGAATAGGGAAGATACGAGTTCTCATGATATGACTCATTTAACGTTTCTGAATCTATTCCCTCATGCATTTATGTTACCCAATTCTAATTTTAAGCATATTCATATAAATAATTATGTTGACCCCTGCCATATTTCCGCATCCTTGTCGAGACCACACAGCAGAAACAACTGAATATAGCCTTCTACGTGGTTCAGATGAACGCGTCCTGCGCGCGGAGCGGGATATATCAAGCAGCGCGTGAAGCGCAAGGATCTCACTGACAGCTTTCATCTCTGACTGAAAATACCAAAGGAATTCGACCGCTGCCCCCGAAATCTCGCTTTCATGACTCGAATCTTATTTTTTTGTAAAGTTTAAGTGCGTCATACGCCTCTTAACAAATGTTTTAGTTTATTTTCTACAGAAATAACGATCGTTTGTTATCTGAGGCGAACTGACGCACGCGCGAGTTTATCAGGAGGCGTCAAATGCGAGCGTCGTTTATTCTCGAGGCGTCAAATGCGAGCGTCGTATAGTTGGATTTCGCACTTGAGCGCACAGTTTTGCGGTACTATTATATTATGGTGATCCGTGGAAGCATGTGAAGCTGTCATATTCCAGGAATGGATCTCCAAAAGGTGCCCAAAAACTACAGGTAAATAATTAGAATGAAACACATCAGTGCAGTGTTTAAAATTGTTGCAGCATACTAATTGACATGGCGTGTAGTTGTGAGCATATTATTTAAGATGTAACTTTTTTATTTGAAAATGAAAAGCATACGCTATAATTATGCAAATTATTAATAGCCGTTTTAGGTAAAACAATCTAGTCAGGTGGCTGTGTAACTAATTTTGTGTCCTGTTTTCTATAATAATCCATTATTTGATCATTTATGTCGAGTAGCTACTGACTGAAAAGCGCAGGATATATTCAATATACAAAGAGAAAGACAGAGTGGGATGTTTAATTATCTTTTTAATTGCTTGATTAAATACATTTAAGCTGGACTGATCAATTGAGAGTCTTTTTAAGCGTATAGGAAACTCTAGGGTTTGATTTGATCCCAGCTGGGTTTCTGTAGAGCTGTTCTTTCTCAGTTTAAGATGCTGTGTGGGATGGAGACAGACACGATTTGGATGCAATCTAAACGGCAGAACAACACTGCAGTACTTTTATATTAATTCATTCATATAAAGACAAGAGCGTTGGATGAGCTGTAAGCCTACAGCAAAATTAGGTGCACATCGTTTGTTAGATGATCTCTGCGAGATCAAATAGTTGTGCTGTTTGCTCAATAAAGATCAATTAAACCAATATTTGCTAGGGCAAAAGTCAATGAGCTGTAGAAACCAGACAGACAAGGTAAAGTCCTTGTTTATTCAAAGTTGCAAGTAAAACACATGACTTTGGATTCATAATCAGTTTTGATAAAAGGGCTGTTTATGTTTAATCACTTCATGCATTCCATTTTCACTTGGCCATATAAATGTCAAATTGCTTTTATTTGTATGTGCTTATCTTAGTCTGCTGTTCTCTCGCAATGCAAACGCATCAGAAAAATTCACATTTTCTGTTGAATGCTCCATATAGCAGTTATTGGTTGAGATTCGTGATTGCTCTATCCATGTGTCTTATCCATGATTGCTGTGGGTTGTGGGACTCCCAAAATTTTGTGTGCTGACGTAAACCCATTTGGGGCAGGTTAACAACCATTTACACTTGTATTTGTCTCAAATGCATGAACTGTCCAAGTGAAAACACTCATATAAATTCTAAGACTATACATTACATAACGTTTAAAATGTAAATTTGTAAAATTTTGTGGCGTGCATTAAACTGTCATATTAACACTGAGTCTGAATTCAGTTAGTTCATTCTAAAGTGGAAATCAGGGCTACATTCTACCATTAATACACCCAAAACAAGTCTACAATTATTATGTATAAACATCTTTGATTAGGTTTTACTTCCACCAAGACAAAAAAGGCAGATGTAGATGTGACGTTTTCAAAATGACAAGCTTGGTTGTTAACTCATATTTCCTTGTTTTTATCAATGCACACAGGTTTCGCATTAAACTGCAGACTCTATCTTCATAAGCCTTTTCCCGGTGAATAAACACTACAGAACACTGCCAAAATGGACACGAAATGGACGTTTATGCACAATTCCAACATGTCCCTCCCTGACCGCCTGCTCAATGATAGTTTCTTCCCCGGGAACGAGTCTGACTTTGGCCTGGAGATTTACCCTCACAATAGCACCCACCCTGGCTTCGACCAAACCAGCTCGGCAGTCATCACGTTTGTGTACTTCGTCGTCTGCGCGGTGGGGCTCTGTGGGAACGCCCTGGTCATTTACGTCATCCTGCGCTACGCCAAGATGAAGACCGTCACGAACATCTACATTCTGAACCTGGCCGTGGCGGATGTCCTGTGCATGCTGAGCTTGCCTTTCATCGCCATTCAGCTCTCGCTGCTCCACTGGCCCTTTGGATCGGCGATATGCCGCGTCGTCCTAACCGTGGACTCCATGAACCAGTTCACCAGCATCTTCTTTCTGACGGTCATGAGCTTCGATCGATACTTGGCCGTGGTGCATCCGATCAAATCCACCAAATGGCGAAAGCCGCGCATGGCCAAAACCATCAGTCTGGCCATGTGGGGCGTCTCTCTGCTGGTTAACCTGCCAATTATGATCTACAGCGGTGTGAACACTAAAAGGAACGAGGCCCGGACTTGTACCATGTTGTGGCCGGAGCCACAGAACACCTACTACACCGCTTTCATCTTCTACACCTTCTTCTTGGGGTTTTTCTTACCACTGATAGTCATCTCCATGTGCTACCTGCTGATCGTCATAAAGGTGAAATCCTCCGGCATGCGAGTCGGCTCCACCAAACGAAAGCGCTCTGAGCGGAAAGTCACCCGTATGGTGTCTATCGTAGTAGTTGTGTTCATCTTATGCTGGTTACCTTTCTACGTATTCAACGTGACCTCTGTGACCGGAACCGTTCCCACCACAACTGTGCTGAAGAGCACCTTTGACTTCGTGGTGGTGCTGGGTTATGCCAACAGCTGCGCCAACCCCATCCTCTACGCCTTCTTGTCGGACAACTTCAAGAAGAGCTTCCAAAACGTCCTGTGTCTTAAAAGAGTCGGCGGCTTGGATGAGATCGAGCGCAGCGACAGTCGACAGGACAGGACTCGAATGGTTAACGACGTCATGACGGAAACGCATAACGCTGCGCTGCTCAACGGAGACCTTCAAACCAGCATCTGAGGAGATAAAAGTCTGCTGAGATTAGATGTTACATGAAAGTGGTCCACTGAAAGTCTCAGATTACATGCGCTGGGAGAGATTTAGTATTTAAGAACAACAATAAATACCTAAACGCAACCCAAACCACATTTTTTGGGTGAGCTCGATCTGACTGATCTGATGTATTTAAGCGATGAGCAAACGAATGTCATTTACTTTAAATAACTCTCGTTGCTTTGTTCGGTGTTACTGTCTGAAGAAATTCTAAAGCTGTTGTGTTATTATGAGTGTATGTTCAGTGCCAAAATTGTCTTTAAAGTTCAAAGACAAGTCATGGCCTTCACTGGATAAACATGATTTCATTCTGTTTGTGGAAACGGCTTGTTAGATGCTTCTTATTATTCAAGGCTTTTTGTGACGATGAATACAAGACGAGTACTCGACAAGGCCACATCGCTGAATAGAAAAGGTCTCCGAAATCTAAACAAAGATGTACATTTCTGTGGCATATTTATTTGTTGTTATACTTAGAATATCTTGTTTACATATATTGTAATATTTCGCCTGTTTGGTATTATTTTGGTAGAGGAAATGTACATAACGTTTCCAAAAAGTGTAGGCAGCAGCATTTAAGATACCTCCTTCTTAGGCAAATTTCTAAGGCGGTATTTATACAGTATCCTTTACGAAAAAGGCAATCCTAAAATGCACGGTGAAAAAAATTCAAATGAAAACAGACTACTTTATCCATATTTTGTGTGTTATGTGTTTTTATGCTTATTAGAGGATTGTTGTTACCAGTGTATATACAGTATGTAATGCTATCTCACAACCAATTCGAACGAATGGCTAATTCGCACGAATTCATACGACCTCACTCGTACGATTTGTCTAGACCCTAGGTTTAGGAGCGGGGTTAGGGCTAGGTCATTCGTACGAATTCATATGAATTGGGGAACTCATAAAATATGTACGAATTATCTTGAGAGCAGATTGGAATTCTATAGGAATCAGGAGTTAAATGCACACTAGGTTTTGAATCAGAGCTGCAGTCTAATCTTTAGTGTAGTTTAGAGCTTAATCGTTATCTGACCTGGAGAAAGTTTCATTGTATTGTGTTGTAATTGTGCATATGAAGTATGAAGTAACCATATGGCCATTGGCTATACTAAATTAACATTCATCAGCTGGCAAATGAGATGCAAAGAAATCCTCGTTCCTGCTTTAATGCAAACAACCTTGCTCACTCACCTCAGTCATAGCAATGAGGGTCAAGGGGCAGTGAGACGGACAAGGATGACAGAGGGCATGCAGGTCACTCGTCGTTATTCTGAGAAAAGTATTCAAACAAGTGCATAATTGTGCAGTCGTTCTGGTCAAAAATATTATAAAACATAAGATCCATCATTGTGATGAATGCATCCCGTCACACATGGACTGTTCTGTAGTGACGACGAATAGCATCAGCAGCCGCGCTTTACATTGGCATTGCACTTTTAAAACAATTATTTATTCTAGCAAGGCTGATAAAAGGACGCTGCAAGTGCCTTAAAGAATCACAGAATGAGAGACGCAGAAACCGTGTGCATTCATTCACAGAGCTTTAACAATAAACCCTCCACCTGAATGTACAATCAATTGATTTACTATTATATGCTTGTAAATAAAACGCTAATTGAAAGCTGCTGTCGCTCACAGAGCTGTATAATGTGTATATATTGAGCTGGCATTAACAGAACGTATTCAGCTCTTGCCCGTTTGAGGGGTTTAGATCATTGTAACATTTGCGAAGGGCTAAAACCGAACTTGTTTACTTTAGTCTGTCTGATTTCTAAGGGCCAGGATCAGATCTGTTATGCTGCAAGTGTTGAAAAGTGAATGAGTTCACGTTTAGAAGTGTAAACAGTTTTGGAAACAAACATATTTTGAAACCTGGGGAAGTATTGATGACGGCAAAGTGGTTATCGCAGTATTCGTCAAGGACTTTGAGTTCAGTTCAATGTGCCTTTGACCGTCAGGCAGAATAGGCTGTGTGTTAGTGTGTCATGCTCTAGTGTTGTATCTTATGTCAGGTTGCTATAGAGTCCCTTGTCTGATGGTGTGGGTACAATGTAGCATTTCCTTTATATTAATAACACATTTCAAAGATGTCCATTATTCATCATACCAAATGTCTGCTTTATTAAAAGAATAGTTCACCCAAAAATGAATATTTCCAAGATGTAGATGAGTTTGTTTCTTCATCAGATTTGGAGAAATGTAGCATTGCATCAGTGTCTCAGCAATGGATGCTCTGCAGTGAATGGGTGCCGTCAGAATGAGAGTCCAAACAGCTGATAAAAACATCACAATAATCCACAAGTAATCCACTCCACTCCAGTCCATCAGTTAACATCTGGAGAAGACAAAAGCTGAAACAAATCCAGCATTAAGATGTTTTTAACTAAAATACGAGTCCATAATCCATAATAACGCTTCCTCCAGTGAAAAATTGCATCTTCTGTTGTCTCTCACATCAAAATCCAGCCACATATTTGTTTAGAGCTGTTTAAACGCTGCTTGATCTGTGCAGATTTCTCTCCTGATTCACACCACTTTTTCACTGGAGGAAGCGTTATTATGGATTATGGACTCGTATTTTAGTAAAAAGTGTCTTGATGGATTTGTTTCTTACAAACATGCAGCTTTTGTCTTCTCCAGATGTTAACTGATGGACTGGAGTGCTGTGGATTACTTGTGGATTATTGTGATGTTTTTATCAGCTTTTTGGACTCTCATTCTGACGGCACCCATTCACTGCAGAGCATCCGTTGGTGAGCGAGTGCTACATTTGTCCAAATCTGATGAAGAAACAAACTCCTCTACATCTCGGATGACTTGAGGGTGAGCACATTTTCATTTTGTGTGGATGAAGCATTCCGTTAAGTCTTGAAGAATGACTCATTCCTCACCTTCTTCAATAGTTGCTTGAATGAAGGCTGTGTATTGTGTGCTGCTTCTCTCTTATAGCGTGTGTGAGTGTCATCATAAGGATGTAGCATAGCTCAATGTCAGGCTGTGCTGAGATGTGCCTGTTATTCCTCTTGTTGCTAAGCTGCCACAGCTCAATTTTTGCCCAGTTATTTATTGTAAAGATCCAATTTATTACAGCCCACCCAAGCAGAATAATCCTCAGGTCTAATTAAATAATTCCTCAAACTCTCTTATTGTCAGGCCATCTGTGGAGAAAGCGCGATTGCGATTTAATTAAATTGTACAAAGGTGCAAACCCACTTTTACTGCTTCTTTCTTTAAGGTCTCATTGTTAACATGACTTAATGCATTATCTAACATAGCCTAGTGATTTATTTATTAATATGGGTTAATGCATTCATAGAAAGAGTTATTTGTGTTTGTGTTAGTTCACAGTGCAGTAACTAATGCTAACACAACTTTTTAATTAAAAAGTTAACGCATTTAACATAAGAATTTCTTTAAAACTTCAAAACAAATGACCAAACTGTAATATTATTTCATTTGTGAGGTGCAACTAAGTGATAATTAATACAATGAAGTTAATATATGTATGCATTTGTGATTAAAAGTGTCTGGTAATGACTTTCAGTGGGAAATGATCATTTAAAATAATCCCCGGTGTAGTCATATTACTGAGAAATCTGAGAGTCAGATTTACCCTTCAGCACAACTGACTAACTCTAATGACACATAAGAAAATCTTGACATATTAAGATGCATGACAAAGCAAGCTCCCCTCCACCTTTTTTTTTTTTGCAATCAAATTGTTGCAAAATGTCTCCCTCTGTTGTCCAGTTTGGGTTTTGTTTTCTATTTAAAAAGTGAAGGACTGTGGACTTGTGTTCAGGCTTTGGCTTGTATATGGATTATGCATCATGTTCATGACCTGTAATTATTGACAATTGTTGAGAAATGTGATCAAGTATCCGCCAACCTTGTCGCCTCCAGTGTTGTTATTGACAAAAAAAATAAAATGCATTACATTCATTTACCAAACAAATAAAGGCTAATGTGTGAACAATTCTCAGTTTGATTTGTGTGCAGTAAAAATGAAATTAAGCTCAGTACACTTACAACCCACATGAATGTAATGCAAATTGTGTTCAGTTTACGCTAATATTAATATATTTGATCAAATTGTGAAATATTGGTATAAATTCTAGTAGCTGTTTTCTATGTGAATCTATTGTAAAAAAATACGTGTTGCTGTGATGCGCAGCTGTATTTCCAGCATCATTACTCCAGTCTTCAGTGTCACATGATCTTCAGAAATCATTCTAATATTCTGCTTTGCTGCTCAAGAATCATTTCTGATTATTATCAGTTGAAAACAGCTATATGTTTGTGGAAACCGTGACAAAATGTATTTTTCAGGATTCACAGATCAACAGAAAGTTCAAAAGAACCGCATTTATTTAAAATAGAAGTCATTTGTTACATTATAAATGTCTTTACTGTCACCTTTGATCAATTTCATCCACCCTTGATGAATAAAAAATTATTATTTTTTAAATGACTGATCCAACATTTTTGAACGGTAGCATATATAGGCTATATATAGGCTACATAAATATACATATTTTTAAGATCAGTTTAAGTTCATTGCAAAATATAATCAACAATAAATACGTTTAACATCAAATAAAATCCCACTGTGCCTCCTAACGAAATCATAACTCTTCCAGCGCGTGCGTTTCTCTTTGACTGACACACAATGAAACCAAGGCATTAATTAATGCAGTGTTTACTCAAAACGAGGCTTTTGCTGTCATTTGGAGTCGACAGGTGTGGATATGGCCTGAGCTCTTCCTGCAGTGAGACACCATCTGTCTCTGAGGTTCAGCTTCACTGCTCCGACTGCACCGTCATGCTCAGACCTTCCTGCTGCCATCAGAATAGCTCTTCTGCAGGTTTCTGTAGGTTGTCTACTTGAGGTCTATTTAAAAGAAGTGCAGGTGCAAGGATGTGCTCAAATGAGTGTGTGATCAGTTTCGCCTTCAACGCAGCACCGTGTTGATTTCGCAAACATCAGGGAGTTCATCTTTTGTTTCAAAACTTGAGCGGTGTGTCCCCCGAGGATAATGCATCTTCATTTTAAACCTGAATCATCTTTATATGAATAATTGCTCTCCCTCTGAGCTCGTCTAGTCATTTAGTTCACGTTATAGCATGAGAGCGTTCAGCTGGAAGATCATTTGTTTTAATGCGTCTTTAAAATGTTGTTTTATGTGCGCCTACAAGAAACTGCTTGATGCATCGCAATTACCTGAAACAAGAACTTGAACTAGCTTCTGTTTGGCATTTGTCAGTTTCCAGTCCAAACTTAGTCAAAAAGCCCCTGCAATGATGCTCTGAAACAAACAATATTACTATTCAAAATATTACTATTATTAAATAATATGGTATTAAAATATTGTAAAATGTAAAATAAAAATAAGAAATTATTAAAAAATAACATGGAATTAAAATATTAGTCAACATGTATTGAAAAATATGTATTGAACCATATTGAATATTGAAAAAAAAAAATTATTTCTTTCAAAATAATATGACTAAAATATTATT